TATCTCAGACCCAGAGTGGGCAGGGCTACCAAGGCTGTTTGGCCTGGTCCTGCAGGGAGGGGAGGCCGGTGGCAGACAGCAGTCCCCAGGTGCTATCTTCCTTCTCCCAGCACTGCCCTGGGGGCCATGGTTGGTGGTCCCCCTTCCTCCCACCATCTGATTTGTACCAGTTCCTCATCCCCAGAGGCCCGGCTTCTCCATCTGTCCCCCTCCCCAGCTCAGAGCCAGGTGCCTCAGAAGGCCCGCTCCTGCCTCCCCCTCCCATCCAGGTCCCCCTTGAAGCTGGAAATAGCTGACATGAGTGACAGGGCTGGAAGCAATCACAGTATCAAAGACCTCTGGATTCCACAGAGGTAGATTTGAGCTTGCTTGGGCACTCTTGGGTTGGATCTTGACTGTTTGGCTGTGAGATCTACCTATGCCCACTGACCTTGGCCTCCTTATCTAAAAACACGAGGCAGAGGGGAATGCTGTCCCTGTGGGTAAGGGTCTATGGGGGTGGAGATCAGGTCCGGCTTGCTCAATGCTCCAGCTGGTGGGATCTTAGGGATTTACTAATCATGGGGGAATCAAATGACTACAGATTAACTAAGTGAGCCCTTACCTCACTGCTCAACAGGAAAGGAGCCCATCGCAAATAATAAATCTCACCTATATCATTAACAGGCCATAGGGGGAGGCACCATGGACTCTGGGTCATAAAATTTCTGAGCAAATCCCAGAACAGGTTCAGTCTGAAATCCCAGCACCCGAGAGCCCTGGGTCCCCAGGTGCCTACTCAGGAACACCAACGGCATCGTCTGGGCAGGCCCATGGCCACCTCTGCCACCCCCTCCTGCCTCTCTGGCTCCCTGACACAGCTGGGCTTTCCCACCTGGAATCTGAAAAGAAGAACTAGGGGAAGTCATGGCCCTTTGCTGAACCATCTAACCAGACCTAATTAATCAATAAGCCTAGATGCCGCTTTCCTGCCAACCAGCCACCTGAAGAGTACTTACTTTATCTGTGAATTGATTGCGTGCTTTCGCCACCACTACGGCTAATCTCTGCTGCCCACAGAGGCTGGGTGCCAACCGGAGCTGGGAGCTGCCCGGCAGGGACCGCCCTGCCACCTTACCAGGGTGGCACGGGCTCCAGGCAGCTCCGGTCCTCATGTTATAGATGGAAACTGAGGCCCAGAGAGGGGTGCAGGGGGCAGGTCTGGAGCCCAGCTCAGCTGCCTGCCTGCCTGGCCTCGGTCACCCAGCACCAGTCAGCCCTCTTGATTTGAATGAGGCTGAAAAGCTGAGACTCTTTCCCGCCCCTTCTGTCCCTTCCCACATACAATTTGCCCCACTTCAGCATCACAGAGTCCCTCCTAAGAGAAAAATGACCTTCACCCACCTTGAGGTAGGGGGGGTACGACCGGTCCTGGCTGTCAGCATCCAGCCCAGATCCTGCCGCCGGCCCAGACCTCAGGACCCTGCCCGAGCTGCCCAATAAAGTGGAAGGTGGGCCCTCGAGCAGACTCCTGAAGGTGAGGAGCCCCCTGTAGCAGTCCGAGGAGGACAGAAAAAAGGCCACACTCCCCAGAAAGGGTGGGGATCTGGTTCTCACCCCCAAACTGCCATGCTGTTGAGCTGGCAGATGGGAGGGTCTCAAGCAAACCAGACCATCGCACCCCCAGGGCCAGCAGACGTCACTGTGCTGACCAATGGCCCGAAGCCTGGACATAGATCCAAGAAGCAGGAGCAAGACCTTGATCTTTGACCACCAGATTCCACAATAACCACCATATATCAGGCGGTTTCCAGAACATTCCTGGTTTAAAACAGCCCGCCCCAAGCGAGGCCGGGTTAGGAATCACGGGTGTCCGAACCACAGGACACGTGCACCTGCCTCACTGCCACCTGCCAGCCTTGAGCTTCACCCCACCTCAAAGAATCGCTTGCCTTTGCCTTTGCCTTGGCCCATCTGGAATCCACACCAAGAGTCAAAGTGAAATAAAATGCCAGCACAAGCTGAAAGACAAAGCCCCACACCGCTCCTGCCCACCCCGGCTCCGCAGGCGTGACCACAGTGAGGGGTTTAGTACACAGGCTTCCAGCCTTTCCCCTGCATCCACAGTCCTCCTGGGCCGGAACAGAGCTCTTTCCAATGTCAGTGTCAACCTCTGTCCAATGTTAAAGTCAACAGGGAAATTATGTGTGTGGCTATATCATGTATTTCACAAAACTGGGATTATACTATACATACCATGCAGCAAACTATTTTTTCTACTCATCAGTAATTGTGTACAAGGGCAGTCTGCGGAGCCTGCTGTGGAGAGATGCCGTGCTACATTGTCCCAGCTGGACTCTGGTGCAACCCCGCCCACACTGGCCAGTGATATGCCCTGGCCCTAATTCTACTCCAACACCCCTGGGTCTCAACTCGGTCCTTCCTCAGCCTGCCCCAGCTCTCTGACACCATTATTTTGACCACGATTTATTTTATTCAATAAGTACTTTTTCAGCATGCATAACATGGTAAACATGTAGTTTAAATTGTTGTTGTTCAGTCGCTAAGTTGTATCCGACTCTTTGCGACCCTGGACTGCAGGACGCCAGGCTTCCCTGTCCTTCACTATCTCCCAGAGTTGGCTCAGACTCATATCCATTGAGTCGGTGATGCCATCCAACCATCTCATCCTCTGTTGCCCACTTCTCTTGCTCTCAATCTTTCCCAGCATCAGGGTGTTTTCCAATGAGTCGGCTTACGATGTAATAAACACAGGCGCAAAGTAGTTCTGAGGGTTTCATCAACATGAACACATTTAACTCATTGCAGCCCAATGGGAGAAGCATGCTTATTATCTTCCCTATTCTACAGAGGGGGAAACTGAGGCACAGAGAAGTCCTCGTTCAGAGGCTCACAGCCAGTCTATGGCAGGCCCAGGCCATGGGCTAAAACGTGCCTACTCCCAACCATCACACCAGCAGTTCTCAAATGTAAATGTTTATCAGAATTTTCCAGAGAGGCTTGTTCAAACACAGATTGCTGGGCCCCTGCCCTGGAGTTTATGATACAGCGGGTCTGGCATAGGGCCTGAGAATCTGCATCTCCAGCAAGTATCCAAGTGATGCTGACACTGCTGGTCCAGGAACCACACTCAGGCAGTCCTTGCGTTACATGCCACTGCCCTTTACAACTGACCCCTTGCTTATGAGCCATGGGGCCTCCCTGAGCCTGGCTCTTGAGTGCAGGGTGTTCTATCCCCGCTGTGGGATAAAGGCCTTGTTCATACTGACAAGCACAGGGCCTGTCAAACAAACGAAGTATCTCAGTGTGGAACTGGTTTATCTGCTGCAATCTAAACAGTTCCTGGGAATCAAAGGCTATTTTTACCTCCTATGGTGGTCTTTTGCCTCCCCTCAAAAGGGTCCTCAAAACATCTCCTTCTCCAAAGCTGTGAGCAAAGGAATAACCCAGCAGGTTTGGACAGCTGTCCACAGCCTACATGTTCCAAAGAAAAGTGTGGCCCTTGACTAGCTCCTGGGAGGTAACTTTGAGCCTTGGAATGGCCTGCCCAACGAGTGTCTTGGTTTACTTGGAGCTGGGGGCCATTCCACACAGTTTACAATAAAGATGTGATTTATGGTGGGGGCTTTGGGCCATGTTGTATCACCATGACCTGTGGGTCAAGGAATTAGGGGCTGTGATCAATCATACGGCCAGTCAGCCATGCCTATGTGATCAATTCCTGATAAAAACCTGGAAATCCAGGCTTGGGCAAGCCCCCCCCCCCCCCGCTGGGCTACTCCCCAGGTGTTGTCACGCATCGTTGCTGGGAGAATTAAGCACTGTCTGCACGGCTGCCCTGGGAGATGCTGGCCGGAAGCTCGCAATGTTGTCTCTCAGACCCTGCCCTGTGCCCCTTTCTCCACTGCCGGCTTTTATCTATGTCCTTTAATTGTAACAAACAGTGGCTGGGAGTATAACAGCTTTGCCAAATTCAGTGAGTTCTAGCAAATCACGGAGCCTGAGGATGATCTCATGGTCCCCCCAGACACAACTGCCCCTCACTGAGTCGGTGGGCAGTTATACCATATACCCTGAGCATCAGGCTTCAGCCCTAGTCCCACCAGCTGGGCCCAGCTCTGCCCATTCTCTCCAGACTTCCCAGTCCTGTGGCCAGAGGTAGCCTGGGCTTTATGGAGGGCATTTATCATCCACCATTCATCTCCCTCTATGGAAAAATACAAGCAGCCCCTTCAATGTAACACCAGGGAACCATTCCAGGTGCCAAGTAAAGTCCCAGGTAACATCCCAGAAACCAGGTAATATCCTGGGCATAAGATAATGTCCCAGGAACCAGGTAATACCTTAGGAACAAGATAATGTCCCAGGAACCAGATAATATCTTAGGAACAGATAATGTTCCGGGAAGCAGGTAACATCCTGGGTACCAGGTAATGTCTCAGGAACCAGATAACGTCCCAGAAACCAGGTAACATCCTGGGTATCATGTTACATTCCAGTTATAAGGTAATATCCCAGGAACCAGGTAACATACTGGGAATCAGGTAACGTCTCAGGAACCAGATGACATCCCGGACACCAGGTAACATCCTGGGTACCACGTAACATTCCAGTTATAAGGTAATATCCCAGGAACCAGGTAACATGCTGGGAATCAGGTAACGTCTCAGGAACCAGATGACATCCCGGAAACCAGGTAACATCCTGGGTACCACGTAACATTCCAGTTATAAGGTAATATCCCAGGAACCAGGTAACATACTGGGAATCAGGTAACGTCTCAGGAACCAGATGACATCCGGACACCAGGTAACATCCTGGGTACCACGTAACATTCCAGTTATAAGGTAATATCCCAGGAACCAGGTAACATGCTGGGAATCAGGTAACGTCTCAGGAACCAGATGACATCCCGGAAACCAAGTAACATCCTGGGTACCACATAACATTCCAGGTTATCAGGTAACATCCCAGGAACCATCGCGCCCCCGGGGCCTTACCTGCCGGTGACCTCGACGTTGGAGATGGCGTAGAAGTACTTGTAGAGGTTCTCCCTCTGCACGTAGGTGCCGCCCAGCGCCGGCCGCAGCAGCCTCATGCGCAGGTCGGTGAGGGTGAAGAACTCCTTGAGGCCCTTGGCGCTCTCCAGCCGCGTGTACAGGTTGTCCATGTTGCGCAGGCCGGGGCCGGCGAAGATGGCGAAGCGGTCCCGCACCTCGAAGCGCACGAGCTTCTCCTTCTTGGAGCCGGCCCAGCGCGAGTACTCCTCGGTGCACAGCACCCGGTGCGCGCCCGACGCCGACAGGTCACGCGCCCGCCGCGCCGGCATGCCGAAGGCCTCCATGCAGTCCTCCGCGTAGAACTGGTAGGGCTGCCACGTCCGCCCGTTGTCCAGCGACTTCTCCAGGACCATGACGGTGGGCCGGCCGTACTCGAAGGTGACAACCACGTCGTCCGTCAGCTCCACGCTCTTGTTCCACGACAGGGTGATGTTGGCCTCCAGCGGGCTGGGGTAGCGGCTCCACGTGACGCTCTGCCAGTAGGTGGCCAGGCCCTCGTCCTCCCGGTCGAACATCAGCCGGGGCGGGTGGGCCAGGTCTGGGTTGGAGGCGTCACACTCGTTGCTACACAGGTAGGGGTTTTCCTGCAAGTGGTGGGGGCGGGGAAAGGGGGAGACTAGGGTGGGCCCTGGCTCCTCTGGGTGGGTGGGGACTGGGAGCCCTGGCCCCGCCCAGTCCCTGGGTGCCCAGAGGTCTCAGAGCCTGTGCTCCAGGGTCTGGGCACCAGGAAGCCTCTCTTTCCCGAAATCCCTAAAACACACGCAGCTCTACGGCCTTCCCAGAAAGCACATCTGTTTCTACTCTAAGCACAGCCAAGCAAGAAAGGTGGGAGCTAGTCACTGCTCCATGACTGTCTGTGGCTCCCCACGGCCTGGAGGATAATGCCCTATGCCTTTCCTGCAATGCCCTGACCTCCTCCCTCCATGCTGGGGGCCACCATTCCCGGCCTCCGGCCTGAGCACGCCTGTCCTCCAAGCCTCCTGTGTCTGTGCCTCTGAGCTTTTGCAGATGCTGTTCCCTGTCCCCCACGTGCCCTTCCACCCTGTCTGCCTCCAAATGCCTGCTCACACTCTTGACTCTTGACTCGCCTCCTACACAGAGACACCTTCCCGACCCTTCGAACAGCACAATCAGTAGCCACGGGAGGGGCGATGGAAGAAGTCAAAGTCTCCTGGTGCCAGGCGCAGTGTCTCGTCTCCCTCCTGTCTAGTGTCTCACTCGGAGGTGCACAGTGTGGGAGCATTAGCTCCGTGCCCAGATGGAGACACCCGGGCTCGGGAAGGTGGTGACCCTGGCCCCAAGACCCTGCGAGGAGGAACGGGGGGTCTGTCTGTCACAGGAGCTTGCTCCCTGTCCCCAGAGCCTGCCTGTCCACTTCACCCACAGCCCGGGCATGCTGGGTGTTGACTGGTCCCTCTCAAAGAGGTACATCTGGTGGGAGGTCCTCTCTGGGTCCCTGGCACATGCCCGGCGGGCCCTGTGGGGGACACTGGCTGGGAAAGGCGGGGCACAGCTCCCACATGCTTCCTCTCCTCCCCAACGCCCCCACGTCCGAAAGCTGGCAGCCCACTCCCAGGCCCAGCCAGCTCCAGCTGGGGCTCCCCTTCTCGGTAGTTCAGACCCCACCCCCCCGGGTCTGGTCCACCATGTGAACTCACCCAGAGGCCTGAAAATCTAATGCAGTGGTTGCCTGGGGTGGGAGAGATGAAAGGGGGGGGCCCGGGGGATTTTTAGGGCAGCAAAACCCTCTAGTACGATCCTGTCGTGGTGGAGAAATGGTCCATCTGCCCAAACCCGCAGAATGTACAACATGGAGAGTAAACCTTACTGCTGGTGTGGACTTGGGTTAATCACAACACGTCTGGTTAACAGAGGCACCGCGCTAATGTGAGCTGTTAGTAATGGGGGAATTGTGTGGGGAAACGGGTCTTAGGAGCTCTCTGGACTGCCTGCTCCATTTTCAGTAAACCTCAGACTGCTCTAAAAAATAAAGTCTATTAATTAAAAGGAAAAACTGTCACTAAGAGCCGCACGCGCCCCAGACCAATTGCAGCTTCTTTTGATGAATATTTCAGGTCCCTGGTTTGCTCAGAAACAAAGCGGCTTGAATCTGAGTTAAAGCCTCACATTCTAAAATGAGGCATTCGGCTCCCAGGGCAGTGGGCGCCTCGTCTCCTGAGGGGCTGAGCCCGCATCACTGCGGCAACCTCAGGCCATCACCTTTGAAGCCCGTTAGTGGAGGGCCAGATCGCAGTCCTCCCCAGGGATCCTCGGTGGGCAGGCTGGCCCCGGGGTTTACTGAGGCAGGTTCCACCAAAATAGCTCTGTCCTGGCCTCCTGTGGAGCCCTGCCCACTCCACCTGCTCAGTCCTGCTGATTCGCAGGACCGGGAAACTTGGAGGGGAGGGGAACATCAAGTCCACTGAGCAGATGGGGAAACTGAGGCCCAGGGCGGGGCAGGACCGCCCCCGCCTCCCTGAAGGTGGGAGGGGCTTGAGGATGAGCCCTCCTCGGTCCTGGACCACCCCAGGGGTGACCTGGAGCTCCGTTGACCTCACACACAACACACGGGAGAGGGGCCCGGCTCGGTTCACGGGGGTCCGAGCTTCCTCACGCTCCGGTCCGTGATCCTGCGATGCTGCCCTGAGCAGGGAGGGGCTGAGAGCCCCACGGGGATGGCTCAGGGGCCCGCAGTGGCCAGGCCTGGTGATGAGAGTGGGGCGGGCCGCCGGGGCTGGAGGGCGCAGGCCTGCCTGGGGGCACACATCCTGCCCAGGCCCAGGGCCGCCCACAGCAGAATGGGCTCTGGCTGTGACATGTGGCCAGATGTCCCCGAGCTCACAGCTGGACACTGGGGACCGGAAGACAGTCTGCACCAGGGGGCGGGGGGGGGTGGTCCTCCCCTCCCCCCAACCCAGCCGTCACCCTCTTTCCACAGCTCCCCCTTCTTCTGCCACCCCGCCACCTCATTATGGACTAAGCTGTGTCTCCCCCCAAATTCATATGTTGAAGCCTTAGCCCCCAGGACCTCCAAATTTGTATTTTTGACTGTAATTAATTGACTGTGTTAATTTGACAGTTTTTGGAGACACAGGGCCTTGAAAAGTGATGACATTAAAAGGAGGCGTTAGGTGGCCCCTAGTCCAAGTCTATTGTTATTGTTTTATTCACCAAGTCGTGTCAAAGTCTGCAACCCCATAGACCGTAGCCCGCCAGGCTCCTCTGTCCATGGGACTTCCCAGGCAAGAATACTGGAGTGGGTTGCCATTTCCTTCTCCAGGGAATCTTCCCAACCCAGGGATCGAACCTGCGTCTCCTCCATTGGCAGCTGCATTCTTTACCCCTGAGTCACCACCTGCCTGGGTTCTTACAAGAAGGGAAAGTGTGGACACAGAGAGCTACCTGGGGCTCGTGCACACAGGGAAATGAGCTTGTGAAGCAGCAGCTGGAGGCAAGTCAAGGAAGACGCCTCAGAAGATACCAGCCTGCCTTGGTCTTCAAGGGTCAGACAAACCTTGACCTTGGACTTCCAGCTCCAGAACCTAAGAGAATAATTTCTGTGGCTTAAGCCCACCCAGGCCCTAGCAAACTAGTATGAGTCTTACCCCAGGTCAGCAGAGGCTGGGTCAGGCGGAAAGGGCCACCAGAAGCTCTCTCTGGGGCCCTCCTCCACCAGCCCGCTTCTTGGTCAGCTGGCACCAGGTGGCATCACGCTCCTCTGCCCACTTGGAAAGTTACCCACCCAGCAATGAAGCTGTCTCATCCTCTCTCACCTCTGAGCTTTACACCTGGAGCCACTTTCCCTCTTCTGGGTTTTTTTAGAGAGTCATTCCCGATGTCCCTCCTCCAGGAAGCCCGCCTTGTCTGATTCATCTTTGAACCCAGTTCCCTCATCACAGGGTTGTTAGTGTGTTTATCTGGGCCAGTGTGGTGAAGCCTCCGTATAGGGCCTGGACCTCAGTAAACACTAGTGTGAAGTGAAAGTCGCTAGTCGTGTCCGACTCTTTGCAACCCCATTGATGATACAGTCCATGGAATTCTCCAGGCCAGAATACTGGAGTGGGTAGCCTTTCCCTTCTCCAGGGGATCTTCCCAACCCAGGGATCGAACCCAGGTCTCCGCATTGCAGGCGGATTCTTTACCAGCTGAGCCACCAGGGGAAGACCAAGGGATAGTTATTGTTACCCTATTAACTAGTTATTACTAGAAGATAATTAGATTGATAGTAACAGATCTCATAGTGAATGTTGAGAGTATTTCTGTCCACCCCCAGCTGCTGTCAATCACTCACACCTCACCTCTCCCCCTTCTCCATCCCCCTGTCTACCCTCCCTCACCTCCCCAGCTCCCAGGGTCCCCACTGAAGACTGCACCAGCCTGTCTGTCATCAGGAAGACGGACGTGGCCAGCTCTGCCAAGGGACGGGGGCCCCAACCTGGCTGCGGGCACTAAGCTGCCCTAACCTGCAGGGCCCGCCGGCCCCCCGCCCCCTGGCCCCGGGAAGCAGATGGTCAGAAACTAATGAATCAGCCTGTGTATTTACCAGCCCCGCGCCTGCTGCGGAGCGGGCTTAATCAACAGCGAGTACAATAAATAAATCCCAAGCCATCGCCAACACAATTCCTCTCTCCTGTCTCCCTTCTTTCTCCCACTGCCCTCCCACCCCAAGGTCTCGGAATTCTGTTTAACCATTTAGGGAACAGGGTGCCTCCTGCTGAAGGCGGCTTCGTGGCCCACAGTCTTTCCCAAGCACCTTGGGCTCACACTCTCCTTTTCCTCCTGTTCTGCACCAGGGAGGATTCCGAGGAGCCAGCCTGGGATGCGAGCCCAAGTCCCCAACCCTGAGCGCTGCAGCATCTGATGGCTGACGGCTCTGTGCGTGAGGGAGGGGCCGGCTGGAAGGCCAGCCCTTGCCAGCCTCCTAAGTCTGCACATTTCCACTCAGCTCTATGAGATCAGATTAACTAATGATGAAACAAACTGTCAAGATAAACTGGCCTAATACCAGGGAGAAAGAGCCAGCGATGTTTGGGGCACACCCTTAACTTTTCAGGATAACACTGGAGCCATCCTTTGAAATTATCAAACGTAGCAGTCATTGTTTCTTTAGACATCTCATGAGTATCACACACACACACACAAATCTTACCGCTGATTGAAGGCCTTGGGATTTGTTCTAGAAAAGTGTAACACACCACATTTTCTACTCAGGGAACTCATGGAGCCCCATCTTCCCAGTTAGGAACCCCTGTTCTGGGGTCAGACAGTTGGTTTTAGGGTGTGAAAGCCTTGTTGGGCTCAATCTCAGCTCAATTCTTTGAGACTTGTCCCATATCTTGTGAGATAATCTGTAAGAAATGCCTATAAAAAGTCTCCAAATGGTAGCAGTTATTATTAAACAGTAGCTTCACATACATGAGGTCAAGGGCTTTCTCAGCAACCTTCCCCTGCCCTTCATTGGGAAGCCGGGAAGTTTGCACACAGACACGGACCACAGTGGGGACTGCAGGCTTGAAGGAGTGTGAGGATTGTGACAGTCAGTGTATACCCACTATGGGCCAGAGTGGGCTGGGCCCTCCACATC